CCCCCCCCCCCCCCCAATAACATTTGACGACTTTCTTCATTTTCCAAGCAAATTTGAGTGGTCCCCCCCTCTGAATCCTTCCAAAGTTTTCAGTGATCCCCCTCTTCTGCGTTCTCAGTTACGACTGATCCCCCCTTCTGTTCTCCTAAAATCAAGTGATCCCGCCCAAAATCCTCCCCCAGGTGATGAATAATCACCGGTCCTTAATGGTCATATTATTCCTTGTCTCAAGATCCCACCACTGGGGACACGACAGACTGGACATTTGGGGTCCTAGGAGTTGTACATTCCTACTGTGTGGAGCTCCGGCCAAAGAGCTACTCCGGTGGGGGATTTATTCTCCCACCAGACAAAATAATCCCCGTGGGGCAAGAAACGTTTGCTGGCCTAAAAGCTCTCACAAGGAACATGGAATAATGAAGAAAGAAGCAAAACACAAGGATATTTGAAATATTATTGACTGTGAAGTACGGTAAAAGAAACCTTTCTTGATTCCTTGAGAAATAAAAATCGATAAAGAAACTTGTGTTAAAATTGTTATTGTTTACCGAACTTGTACGTCAAAAAACGGAACTGTGATCGTTCTATTCATTAATCCATCCTTACGATATGTAAATTACTGATTTATCATAATGAATCAAAGTTACCAGCTAAAGTATGATGTTTTAGTTTCAATTTAAACTCTTTAATTTAAAAAAAGTCTAAGAATGCTTGCAATAAATAAATGGATTTATGGATCAGAACTTTTTTAAAACCATTTTATATATGAACAAAAACATAAAACGGTACCTTGTTACGTGATACACAACACAGCCGGTTAAAAATGAGTCTGTCTAGTCAAAAGTTAGATGACGCAATTCTAAGTCTTCTAAAAATAAAATTAGAGATAGGGAGCGAAACTTTCTTGTGAAATTTCGTTGTCGTCGTTTCTAATGTTCATAGCAGGAACTAAAAACCGTCACTTTACGTAAAGTTCGCGTCTTCAAAACGTTTGTCGTTTAAACCACAGCTTCAGGATTTGAAGGTATGTTTCGTAAAGTAGTTGTCATGCCCCGAATGGTATTTCTGCGAATTCGTGTTCTGCCAGTTTGAGGCGGTAATTCGGCTTTTATTTTATCTTTGCATGACGTGTGATATCTTTAACTATTTTCTTCAACCATACCTTGCCAAAACGACCGTGAACCACTGACAACGCCGTATGCACCCTTTTCTGTCGATATCAGCACCACTGACGTCAATTGTATTGATATCGGCAATTACACACTTTCCAAATATGGTTTACGTTATGATGATAAACCCGATAATAACAACGAGAACTAATCAGACACTTAGAGCTGGTGATGTTCTCTGGTCGGCTCTGTAAACTCAAAGCACACCACAACGCCGAAAAAAATGCCGCCTTTAGGGCCTTTTTACATGGAGGTGGGGGACCCCAGGTAGGTGAGGTAACATGTGGTGGGTAACCCCACCTATCATGTAAACGTGATCAAATTGAAATGAGAGATTATATGGACAGGCGGGTTACCCCACCTAAGCGGGTTACCTCACCTACCTGGGGTCCCCCACCTCCATGTAAACAGGCCCTTAGCTGTTCATCTTGGCTGGCTGAATTCTGCGGCTACGTCGGAAACATGCAAAACAGAAGACAATCCACGTCGACGTGAACACTAGAGGTTGACACAGTTATAAGGTGTGGGTCGGGTTCACTAATCAGTACAGTAGTTAAGAGAGGATTTCGTAATTTTGCAATGATGTCCAATAATAAAAACACATCTTCTAGATCTGAAAAAGTTTCAATGTGAACAAATTCATCCCCTTCTAGAGTAATCCACCGTAACAATTGTATGAAAAATTGTTGTTGTTGTTGTCGATATTGCTGATTCTGAAATTCAGTTTTGTTTCTAGTGTTTTCTGAAGAGGCGTCCCTCAGATAAGTCAGTTCAAACTCGTCACTTCTTGAATCGTCTTCTATCTTTTGAAGCTGAAAAGCAACAAAAAGATTAAGCGATGTGGTCAGATTTGACAACATCAGTGGTAAGATGTACCCTCCCCCACACCCTTCCTTTTTATATACCTTGCTCTTCCCAAGTGAATGCTGGGGCTGGATATACCATATTCAAGCTGTATATGTAGCTTATAGAGCATATCATTATATTTGAGGATTTCACCTTCTAGACTCAAATTTAGAAGCATCTTGTACTCGGGTGCAATAAATAGGGCCACAGGGACATACTGCTTTCACTTTCAGCGGTCTTTCTATGGGATTTATCCTACATCCACTCTAAGATTAGAAACACCTTTTACTTTGTAATACCCAGTTCACCAGAATGGTGAATGGTTTCACTTCGGGATTTCTTCGGGCACAGCCCTTAACATGAAAACTGTCATGTACGTATATTATTATAAGAAGCGGTGGAGGAAATTATTGCTCATTCCCTTTAGAATGAAAATTAAAGACTTATAAATTCAATTTGAATGCAACATAACTTTTAACCTTAAAACTACTAAAACGGCACGGGTTTTTTTTTAGCAAGTAGCACACTTAACATAGCAAAAAGCTGCTTGAGAAATATTTCTAGCTTTTGACGTAATAATCACCCGAAGTGAGGGAGTCCAGTTTCCAGAATCCGGGAAATTGTTGCTTGTGGACTCTAGAACCCTGCGCTTTGGAAATCCAGGATTCAGTTCAAGGAACACAGAATCCCACTAACGATTGGAATCCGGAATCCAGATTCCGCAATCTTGTGAGAGTCAGCAAGCAAGAATGACGCCAGAAACAACATAATTACTAGTTCACTCCATCTCATTAAAAGTCTATCACCCAATAAATAAACCCCACCCCCCACAATAACATTTGACGACTTTCTTCATTTACTAAGCACATTTGAGTGGTCCCCCCCTCTGAATCCTACCAAAGTTTTCAGTGATCCCCCTCTTCTGCGTTCTCAGTTACGACTGATCCCCCCTTCTGTTCTCCTAAAATCAAGTGATCCCGCCCAAAATCCTCCCCCAGGTGATGAATAATCACCGGTCCTTAATGGTCATATTATTCCTTGTCTCAAGATCCCACCACTGGGGACACGACAGACTGGACATTTGGGGTCCTAGGAGTTGTACATTCCTACTGTGTGGAGCTCCGGCCAAAGAGCTACTCCGGTGGGGGATTTATTCTCCCACCAGACAAAATAATCCCCGTGGGGCAAGAAACGTTTGCTGGCCTAAAAGCTCTCACAAGGAACATGGAATAATGAAGAAAGAAGCAAAACACAAGGATATTTGAAATATTATTGACTGTGAAGTACGGTAAAAGAAACCTTTCTTGATTCCTTGAGAAATAAAAATCGATAAAGAAACTTGTGTTAAAATTGTTATTGTTTACCGAACTTGTACGTCAAAAAACGGAACTGTGATCGTTCTATTCATTAATCCATCCTTACGATATGTAAATTACTGATTTATCATAATGAATCAAAGTTACCAGCTAAAGTATGATGTTTTAGTTTCAATTTAAACTCTTTAATTTAAAAAAAGTCTAAGAATGCTTGCAATAAATAAATGGATTTATGGATCAGAACTTTTTTAAAACCATTTTATATATGAACAAAAACATAAAACGGTACCTTGTTACGTGATACACAACACAGCCGGTTAAAAATGAGTCTGTCTAGTCAAAAGTTAGATGACGCAATTCTAAGTCTTCTAAAAATAAAATTAGAGATAGGGAGCGAAACTTTCTTGTGAAATTTCGTTGTCGTCGTTTCTAATGTTCATAGCAGGAACTAAAAACCGTCACTTTACGTAAAGTTCGCGTCTTCAAAACGTTTGTCGTTTAAACCACAGCTTCAGGATTTGAAGGTATGTTTCGTAAAGTAGTTGTCATGCCCCGAATGGTATTTCTGCGAATTCGTGTTCTGCCAGTTTGAGGCGGTAATTCGGCTTTTATTTTATCTTTGCATGACGTGTGATATCTTTAACTATTTTCTTCAACCATACCTTGCCAAAACGACCGTGAACCACTGACAACGCCGTATGCACCCTTTTCTGTCGATATCAGCACCACTGACGTCAATTGTATTGATATCGGCAATTACACACTTTCCAAATATGGTTTACGTTATGATGATAAACCCGATAATAACAACGAGAACTAATCAGACACTTAGAGCTGGTGATGTTCTCTGGTCGGCTCTGTAAACTCAAAGCACACCACAACGCCGAAAAAAATGCCGCCTTTAGGGCCTTTTTACATGGAGGTGGGGGACCCCAGGTAGGTGAGGTAACATGTGGTGGGTAACCCCACCTATCATGTAAACGTGATCAAATTGAAATGAGAGATTATATGGACAGGCGGGTTACCCCACCTAAGCGGGTTACCTCACCTACCTGGGGTCCCCCACCTCCATGTAAACAGGCCCTTAGNAGTTACGACTGATCCCCCCTTCTGTTCTCCTAAAATCAAGTGATCCCGCCCAAAATCCTCCCCCAGGTGATGAATAATCACCGGTCCTTAATGGTCATATTATTCCTTGTCTCAAGATCCCACCACTGGGGACACGACAGACTGGACATTTGGGGTCCTAGGAGTTGTACATTCCTACTGTGTGGAGCTCCGGCCAAAGAGCTACTCCGGTGGGGGATTTATTCTCCCACCAGACAAAATAATCCCCGTGGGGCAAGAAACGTTTGCTGGCCTAAAAGCTCTCACAAGGAACATGGAATAATGAAGAAAGAAGCAAAACACAAGGATATTTGAAATATTATTGACTGTGAAGTACGGTAAAAGAAACCTTTCTTGATTCCTTGAGAAATAAAAATCGATAAAGAAACTTGTGTTAAAATTGTTATTGTTTACCGAACTTGTACGTCAAAAAACGGAACTGTGATCGTTCTATTCATTAATCCATCCTTACGATATGTAAATTACTGATTTATCATAATGAATCAAAGTTACCAGCTAAAGTATGATGTTTTAGTTTCAATTTAAACTCTTTAATTTAAAAAAAGTCTAAGAATGCTTGCAATAAATAAATGGATTTATGGATCAGAACTTTTTTAAAACCATTTTATATATGAACAAAAACATAAAACGGTACCTTGTTACGTGATACACAACACAGCCGGTTAAAAATGAGTCTGTCTAGTCAAAAGTTAGATGACGCAATTCTAAGTCTTCTAAAAATAAAATTAGAGATAGGGAGCGAAACTTTCTTGTGAAATTTCGTTGTCGTCGTTTCTAATGTTCATAGCAGGAACTAAAAACCGTCACTTTACGTAAAGTTCGCGTCTTCAAAACGTTTGTCGTTTAAACCACAGCTTCAGGATTTGAAGGTATGTTTCGTAAAGTAGTTGTCATGCCCCGAATGGTATTTCTGCGAATTCGTGTTCTGCCAGTTTGAGGCGGTAATTCGGCTTTTATTTTATCTTTGCATGACGTGTGATATCTTTAACTATTTTCTTCAACCATACCTTGCCAAAACGACCGTGAACCACTGACAACGCCGTATGCACCCTTTTCTGTCGATATCAGCACCACTGACGTCAATTGTATTGATATCGGCAATTACACACTTTCCAAATATGGTTTACGTTATGATGATAAACCCGATAATAACAACGAGAACTAATCAGACACTTAGAGCTGGTGATGTTCTCTGGTCGGCTCTGTAAACTCAAAGCACACCACAACGCCGAAAAAAATGCCGCCTTTAGGGCCTTTTTACATGGAGGTGGGGGACCCCAGGTAGGTGAGGTAACATGTGGTGGGTAACCCCACCTATCATGTAAACGTGATCAAATTGAAATGAGAGATTATATGGACAGGCGGGTTACCCCACCTAAGCGGGTTACCTCACCTACCTGGGGTCCCCCACCTCCATGTAAACAGGCCCTTAGCTGTTCATCTTGGCTGGCTGAATTCTGCGGCTACGTCGGAAACATGCAAAACAGAAGACAATCCACGTCGACGTGAACACTAGAGGTTGACACAGTTATAAGGTGTGGGTCGGGTTCACTAATCAGTACAGTAGTTAAGAGAGGATTTCGTAATTTTGCAATGATGTCCAATAATAAAAACACATCTTCTAGATCTGAAAAAGTTTCAATGTGAACAAATTCATCCCCTTCTAGAGTAATCCACCGTAACAATTGTATGAAAAATTGTTGTTGTTGTTGTCGATATTGCTGATTCTGAAATTCAGTTTTGTTTCTAGTGTTTTCTGAAGAGGCGTCCCTCAGATAAGTCAGTTCAAACTCGTCACTTCTTGAATCGTCTTCTATCTTTTGAAGCTGAAAAGCAACAAAAAGATTAAGCGATGTGGTCAGATTTGACAACATCAGTGGTAAGATGTACCCTCCCCCACACCCTTCCTTTTTATATACCTTGCTCTTCCCAAGTGAATGCTGGGGCTGGATATACCATATTCAAGCTGTATATGTAGCTTATAGAGCATATCATTATATTTGAGGATTTCACCTTCTAGACTCAAATTTAGAAGCATCTTGTACTCGGGTGCAATAAATAGGGCCACAGGGACATACTGCTTTCACTTTCAGCGGTCTTTCTATGGGATTTATCCTACATCCACTCTAAGATTAGAAACACCTTTTACTTTGTAATACCCAGTTCACCAGAATGGTGAATGGTTTCACTTCGGGATTTCTTCGGGCACAGCCCTTAACATGAAAACTGTCATGTACGTATATTATTATAAGAAGCGGTGGAGGAAATTATTGCTCATTCCCTTTAGAATGAAAATTAAAGACTTATAAATTCAATTTGAATGCAACATAACTTTTAACCTTAAAACTACTAAAACGGCACGGGTTTTTTTTTAGCAAGTAGCACACTTAACATAGCAAAAAGCTGCTTGAGAAATATTTCTAGCTTTTGACGTAATAATCACCCGAAGTGAGGGAGTCCAGTTTCCAGAATCCGGGAAATTGTTGCTTGTGGACTCTAGAACCCTGCGCTTTGGA